CCAGGTCCCGTCTTATTCGCAAAACCCTTGTAGACCAGTGTTATTATAATCAACGTTATCAGATCTGCACCGGTCGTTCAATTCAGAAAAATGAGGTGTAAATGTGTAGCAAGGTTTTATTTTTTCGAAAAGAGTTGCTACTTGTTAAAAATAAATTCAAGTCATTTAATATGTTAAATCAATTAATACAAAATGGGTATTAGCCGGAATTTTTTTGAAAAGGTTTTCTTTCTTAGCTACATACATGTAGGAGGGTTGCCACCTGTTCAAAAAATAAAATTCGATATTCACTAATGCAATTAGGTAATTGAGATATATATCACAATTTGGGCGTTACACGAAAGAAATTTAGAAGATTCAGAGTTTAATTAAATGATACACAAGTTCTATGAAATATTAAAAAAATTCACACCGAAGGCGTGTTAAGAACTATTTTTAGGTGTTGAAGAAGGATTGCCACCTCTATAAAAGGTTAAATTCAAATTGTTTAATAAGTTAAATTATCAGAAAAAAAGAAGGCTACCAATGGAAATGGGTTTTGTGTTGCCACATGTTTAAAAATTCAAATTAATCCGGAGTTATGGCAATAATTAAAATATGTATCAGAATATGGGTGTCGAATGAAAGAGGTTAAAGTAGGTTTTGGTTTGAAAATTTTGTAGAGAGTTATCACCTATTTGAAAAGGTGAATATAGAATAATTTCCAGGTATTTGAAAGGGTTTATCACCGTTTTAAAAAGTTATATTCAAATTATTTAATAAGCTAAATTAATTAATAAAAGATGTGTATTAACCGAAATGGTTTTGGAAAGTATTTATTTATGAACTATATTAAGAAGGGGTGGAAAGTATTTGAAACATAAAATTCAACAGCTACTGCCAACCTACAATAAGCGAAACACAGAGGTACTGAAATTCTTCAAGACTCGGACCTGGAAAGCGTCGTCTGCGTTGACACGTTAGCGTAGAAGGATGCTTCTTCAGAGGCAACGAAACGGCCTAGGGTCAAGCCCAGTAAGGGGGAGATGAAGGCGAAAGCATGATAAAAGGTAGCCCTTAAGGTTCATACAAGTCTAGTCTAACGAAGAAACAGGAAGAACGAATGGCTTGGGCTACGTCCGGAATGGAAACTGGGCGAATGGTTTCATTTATCAGATCCGCTGTTTACAAACCGGATTGAGGAGGCCGTAATGAAAAGGCAGCGATCCTTGGAGAGCGATACCATAAATCTTGAAGAAAGGCCGAAACACAAGGTCGATGTGGCCTTAGTACAAGAGCCTGGCATAGCCTCGGGTAACAAGGTCTTAGGACTAAAGACTCAAAACTACGTAACATACACCCCGATATATCAGGAAATATCAATGCTAGCGATTTCGTGTTCTAGAACCTTCTTGTAGGAAATTGAAAAGTTTGCCATTATAATTTTTTCTTTAGCTCTTGTTATTGATGAAAAAATTGGGTTTAGTGAACCGTACTAACTCGCTGATGGGAGTTAGGGTTACGCCGTAATGGACACTTTTGTAGAGCATTCAATTCAGAGGAAACCCTATCACTGACCAAGATTATACCATAAAATGCTCTGAGTTGTAGAATTTTGAAGAAAAAAATCAAAGTTAACGTGTATTTGCACGCATTGGTCGAGTACTGGAAATTTGAAACTCGAAACTGTTTACGACGGTTACGTGAAAACTTGTAGATTTTCGAAGTTTTCAGGGCTTTATACGATTTTCTTTGTTTAATAATTTATTCAATTTTGTATGGCAGTTACTAAGTAAGTACTTTAACAAATATTTTTTCTTAAAATTAAAAAATTTTAAATCAAATAATTAAATGCAATAAAAATCCGCTTTTCCGCTGATTAAAATTCAAACTGAGCGACACGCCACACAAGCGCACATATCACATTGACCGCTGCTGTTACCAATCCGAACGCCATGTGCATATGGCATCGTCCGTTCGCAGCCGACGTCTCTGCCCACCATTCCCAAACGCCTCCATGTAGGGCAGGATCACAGCGCGGATCACTGTAATCCCGACGCGCACTCTCCACTGCACTCTCCCTAAACTGTTCCACCTCCTGTGCCAACAGCTGTACCTGTAGCGGATACAGTTTGGCTAAATTATAACGCTCGCAAGGATCCTTTTCGATATCGAAGAAACATGGCTCCAATAACGGCTCACAACGATACACAGCCTGTGTGTAATTCTCCTCGTTGTTGGGGCATTCATGCGTTGCTTGCGCACGCAATCGTTCCACTTGTTCCACGCTGAGCTCCTCATTACCCAGCACGTGGTGTACCTCTGAGGAGAGCACCTGCTGAACATAATATAGCGCGGTGGGGTCCTGCTCTGCCGTTGGTAAGTCACCCAACCAGCCATCGTAGAGACCATTGAAGCTCGTGCCATTCACATACTTTAGGGTGCCACGTGTGAAAGCGCTATAGCCGACGTTGTCGTCCAGCACGTGAATCAGGCGTCGCGGTTGTGCTGCACCATTTTCGCTGAGCACGCGCCATAAATTAACGCCATCGAGTTTCATTTTTGACGGTAGTTCAATGCCAGCAGCGCTCGTTAATGTGGGTAGCCAATCGATGGCGTGCACTACTTGATTGGAAACGTAGCTCTGTTGCTGCAACAGTGGGCTCCAAATCAGACCAGCGGAGCGTATGCCGCCTTCCCAAGGTGACTCCTTTTGCTGTGTGGTGTGTGGGCGAAGTTGTTAAATAACAGTTAATTGCGGTTAATTTATTTGTTGCTTAATATGTATACTTACGCCGCGGAAGGGATGATTGGAGCCAGCATTCGAGTGTATGCCCACAGTGGGTGCACCATTGTCTGAGTATAGCAGTACGATTGAGTTGTTAAGCATAGCTTTGTTGGAGAGCGCACGTATTACGCGGCCAACGCTGTCATCCAGGCGGGAGACCATGCCTAGAACAGAATTTGAGACGTATGTAAATGTGTAATACAAAAAGCAAGGTTAAAGAGATTTAGCACACACTGGAATTATCAAGCTTGAAAATATGAAAGGCTTGAGTTAAGTGGCTTAGCCGCTGAAATCATTGTCCTAAAAGTTTCGATAAAAAATCATGTATCTTTTAGCAATCGAGTAAAAAACTTGGATATAATTTTTGGGCAACTAAAATCTACGCACACATTTGTTATCATTTGAAAATGGTTGGTTTTTTTGTAACTGCGCACACATTTCTTATTATTAAAAACTGGACATAAATTTTTGGCCATAAAAAAACTCTACACAATTTTTTGGTATTTACTAACAGTATATAAATTCTTGGTCATTTAGAAAAGGACATAAATTGTTGATTAATTAAAAACTGGACATACATTTTTGGTCATTTAAAAAGTTGACATATATATGTGTTCATTTAAGAACTGAATATAATATTTTAGTTATTAAAAATTGGACATATATTTTTCGTGACCATTTCATAATCAGACATCAATTTTTGGTAATTTAAAAACAAACATATATTTCTGGTAATTTAAAATTTTAGGTAACTCAAAAACTGGACACGAATTGATGGTCGTACAAAACCTGGTCATTTGAAAACTGGACATCATTTTTAGGTCATTAGAAACTGCGCATATTTTTTTAGTAATTAAAAATTGGACATAATTTTTTCATGCCTAATTTGTTTTTGGTCATTTGACTTAACGTTCATTTTTGGCCATTTAAAAACAAGACATAAACTTTTGATTGTTTAAAAACTAAACATATTTTTGTTTTAATTTAAAAGCTGGATATAAATGTTGGGTCATAAGAACAGGAGATAGGTTTTCGGTTATTTAAAAATTGGACATACATTTTTGGACATCAAAACATAGACATAATTTTTTGGCATATTAAAACTGGATATATATTTTAGTAATTATAAATGGGACATAGTTTTCTCGTACCTAAAACCAAAACATAAATTTTTGGTAACTTAAAAACTGAAAAAAATTTGAACACATAAATTTTGGATTATTTTAAAACAGGACACAAGTATTGAGTTTAAAGAGCGGGCATGGGTTTTCGGTCATAAAAAACGGAACATACATTCATGGACATCAAAACACAGAATTTTTAGGAAGAAATATATTTGTGATTATTTCAAAACGGCATACGTGAAAACGGCGTGGAAAACTGGACATATTCTTTTGACTTTGAAAATAAAACCGTTTACATGTTCACTGTTTACTTTTCAGTTTCGTATTTGTAATTCAATAGTCGGTTTCTATATTTTACCCTTCATGGAATTTAACTCTTTCTCATTTGATGGTTTCTTTAGACGTTCTTATGTTGGGCTTTGACCGTGCCGACCATATACTCAATAGGTACGTGCCCCATTGGTACTTCCGTTGGTCCTTTAAGTTCGTTTGAGAAAGCAAAGCACCCCAAAGTGAATCAATTAATCTGTATATTTACCCAGAATAGTTCACCTATTTTAATTTGTTATTACCGGCAATCTTTAGCTCGGTTGAATTTTCATCAGTATCTTGATTACCTACGAAACTTTCAAAAAAAAAAGCTGCCTAATATGTATATTAATCCTTCCACCCACCTGCATAAGTGCGCCTCTTCACATCACTGATGTGCGAAAATTTCTCCACCTCCTCTTCAGGCGCCTGCATAGGATTATTCTCATTACCGGTGTGCACGGCCAAGTGGCTCATTAGCAGAAACAAAGGCTTTACCGCCGCATCATGTTGGTAGATAACGCGCTCCGCTTCCTGTGTGAAAACATCAGTTGCATAAAGGCCATCAGCCTCAGGCCATGGCGACAAGTCGCGACGGAAATCCAAGCCGGCCGAGTAATTGCGGTCCTAAAGAAGCAACAATTTAACAAAAATACTCGTAAGCCTTTGAAAAATAATATAAAATTTCGGATTTTAATAAAATTTAAAACTCAAACCATTGTCATTAAATTCACTGCAGCTCTCCACTCACCAGCATATGCATTGTGTGATTGTAGTAATCAATGTAGCCGGAATAGTAGCCGAAATGATGATCGAAACCGCGCAATGTAGGCGTCAATTCTTTGCGCCAGAAACCCAAATGCCATTTACCTATTAAATTTGTTGCATAACCGGCATCGTGTAATATTTCGGGCAGCAGACGTTCGCCAATTGGCAGCCCCCACGGCTGATCGTTAATGATGACGGAGTGTTGCATACCTAAATTAAACAAGTAAGAAAGCCTAAGTTCGGGCAGAGCCGAACATTAAATACCCGGCGCACGTATTAAATATATGTTTTTCGCCTTACCGAAAGCTACGGCTATATGGTAAGCCGGGGCGTATCAATTTTGAGTAAATTAGAGTCCTTAGATTTCGAAATTTTGAAGTTTCAAGCAGTTCTGAAATTTACCGTTATATGAGAAGCGGCCGTTATTTTAGTCCGATTTCAATAATTTTCAACGGTTTGCTTATATGTGGCAAGCACAATAACCACACCGAGTTTGGTACAAATTGGTAGAACGGTTACTGAGATACATATATGTGATCATAAGTGGGCGGTGCCACGCCCATTTTCCAAAAATTTATCACAAACGTATTTCTTGGTAAAGAGTTGTTGCAAGCATCAATTTTGAATAAATTAGCTTCAATATTTACTGATTTATCGAAGATTTTGTATTTCTCTAAATTACCGTTATATGGGATGTGGGCGTGGTTATCGTCCGATTTTAAAAATTTTAGGCGATTTTGTATGCTGTACGAAGGCCGACAACTGTGCCAAGTTTGGTAGAAATTGGTACAGCGGTTACCAAGATATACACATGTAACCATAAGTGGGCGTGGCTACGCCCATTTTCCAAAAATGTATAATATTATTATTTTTTGTCAAAAAATTATTGTAAATACCAATTTTGAGTGATTTATCTTCAGTAGTTACTAAAATATCGCAGTTTTCGTATTTCTGGAAATTACCGTTATATGGGAAGTGGGCGTGGTTACAGTCCGATTTCGCCCATTTTCAATAGCAACCTACCTTGGATTTAGGGAAACCTACATACCAAATTTCGTTGAGATATCTCAATTTTTGCTCGAGTTATCGTGTACACGGACAGACGGACAGACGGACAGACGGACGGACAGACAGACATGGCTTAATCGATTTCTTTTTTTATCCTGATAATTTATGTATACATTTGTCTATATCTATCTCGATTCGTTTTGGCTGTTACAAACAACCGTTATGTGAACAAAATTAATATACCCTTGTGCACAAGTGCGCTCGGGTATAAAAAGGCATCGCCACTGTATTGCCTTTTAATTAAGCGTGGCATTTTGTGTGCGCTTTCGTTAAGCCACTTCAATTAATCCTTTCTCCCGCCACCAAACTCACTTAACTGTGCATTACAAATACATATATGTCTACTGGCGCTACTGGCATACTACTCACCTGTATGTATTGGATATTTGCCGGTGAGCAACGACGCACGCGACGGAGTACACAAATTGGGCACATAGTGACGATTCAATATGATGCCATTGTAGGCGAGCGCATCAATGTTCGGTGTTAATATTTGATTCGAGCCATGAAAGCTGACATCGTTAAAGCCCTACAAAAGGTAGAGAATATGTGTAAGCGTTTGAGTACACGGCGTATGAGTAAACTTGTTGAAAGTGAACAGAAATGAATGATCGAACGTTTCTTGCTCTCATGAATTGTGTTTAGTCGTGCAGGGTATATTCAAGCTGCGTATATGTGAATTGTAATCTCTTTTAATTAAGAGCTTTACGCAATTTTTTTTTTTTGCCGGCCAAAGCGCTTAAGTATTAGGAAAGCAGTACAAATTCTTTATTGCATTGCGTATAGAATTTGTAAATTGAAATTAAAAAAATAAAACGTCAAATAGCAAAGTAAACCACCAGCTTTAGTAAGGGTCAAGGTACGTTTAAGGAAAAATGTCTTCCATTAGCTTAGTTCAGAAATCTTTAAGCAACCCAAGAACCGCAAATAATGTTCCCGTTTTCATACGATTCGAAAATTGAAAATTTTTTTATAGAAAAGTAATAGGAAAATTTCAAATTTTCAACTCGTACGAAAACAAGAATACGACCCAATGAAGGAGAAATTATTGTGTGCAAACTCCTTACCAAGGTGTGTTAAACAAGGTGTGAGTGACACCTCAGGCAGGCTCCCTTTTGATGTAATATTATGCCAAAAAATATATACAAGCGATTCAAAATTCATAAATTTTTTTCAATTTGCCTCTATAGGATGGTTCTTCTGAGAGCATTGTCAAAATCAATCACACTTTGTTGAATAAATTTTGCTCCTTACTACTCAGACTTGTACTCTCTCACATATTTCTATACCTTAAAAACGCATCTCTAGGTAACCTTAAACTTAAATTAAGGCTTAACTAAAACTGACCAAAACTACAAAACTTTATAAGTATAAGTACCATTTATGTTATTTTTTTCGTTTTTTTTTTTGAGTATTGAGGATGAGCAGCCACCACCTCAAGCAGTTCACCAACTAGTGTCATGTGGACTGGATCTGGTAACAGACTGCAACGCGAATGGCCACCATGAGTCTATCTTTGATTTTATCGTCTATACTAACCTACTAAATAGTTGAATGCAGCAAGGCCAATCAGCCAACGTTCGTAATATGATTAGAGAAGAGATGATCGATTTAACACTGGCCTCTGATTCGACTACCAGCAAGGTAAGTAATTGGTCGTGATACGACACATGTTCATTTTCGGACCATAGTAGGATACTCTTCAACATTGACTTTCAGGTAGAATTAACCAAGGCAGTTAGGAAACCTAGGAATACGGATGGGGAAAGGTATGCTAGGATGACATCCCATAAGCTAGAAGTGACTTAGGTTTGAATTAGACGTGGAACTGCCAACATTGATCGATCGGTTGACCGCCTGACTAGCGTACTAACTAGGCCACGCACCAAGCCAAAGGCTGTCTAGTGGAATGCTGACCGATAGTTGGGAAATTCTTCAATAGGGCCAAATGTAGCCGTCGTGAAGAGGATTGGGAATACCATGGGAAAATATTTACCAACTACAAAAGTCAAACTAGGGCTGAAGAGAAACATACCTGGCGGAAATTTTTGTAGAACAGTTTAGCCAACAAATGAAGCATCAAGGCTCCGCAAGATACTTTCTAAAACCGATTGGGCAATAGGAAGCATCAAGCGGCCAGATGGCTCATGGACCGACTCGAGCCTGCATTCCTTGGAAGCCTTGATGGACGCACACTACCATGAGGGCTGAACATGAGCATTTACTTGCAGCCACCACAAGTATTCGTTGCAGGTGTATCAGCAAAAGGGGCCCTTAGGCTTAGGGAATCAAAATTGTGGAAGCAGACCAACTATGGGCACGCATCGGTCTTGGAGGTAATTAAGAGTGGACGGCGTAACACAAACTAGGCCGACTAAGATGTCGAAACTGATTACCTCGCGACATTATACTGACCGTATGGATTAACCACGGTTAGAAGGATAAGACTCCTCCTGACACTAACAGAGGGCATTCACAATGGGCAAATTTGCCTCCGAGTGGAAGTATGAGTCATTCGTACGCGCCCTGCTAACCTAACCTAAACTTCACTCGCGTCAAATTTTTCCAAAGTAAATATTCGGTTTTTTCGCGCTTATTTCACACATCACTAACCAATCACGGTTGAGGTGAATGTTAGTTAAGAATAAAATAGGTGGTAAAACTCACCATATCATCTATCAAAATGATAATTATGTTTGGCTTTGTGTTGCTTTGCTGTTGACTTTGTTGTTTTTCGCTTTGTTGCTGCTGTTGTTGTGGCGTGGGTTGTGTTGGTTGCTGTCGTGGTTGTTGTTGTTCTGTGCTCACTACTTCCGAGTTAATTGTCGTAATCGCAGCCACGTGATGTTGCGGATTGAGCAATGCCGGCAATAGAACGAGAATTGACAACAAATAGAAGGGGCCAATCGAGCGACGTTGGCGGCCGACTGGGTATTGCATTTTGTGCTTTTGTATTTTTTCTATCGTTTTATATTTGTACGAGTGTTGTGTTTGCAGTTTGCAGGTGGATTTGACTTTTTAGTTCTGCAGTGAGTTGTGCAAAATAATTAATTTAATTAGTTGTTACACTTTTTAAGCTGTTAAGGAAATTAAGTTAGGAAATGTTTGGTAAGAGATTTTTAATACAAATAAGTGCAGCGAGTCAAAATGAGCTACGCTAGCTTGGCCATGTCGTTCGAATGGACAGAAAGGCTCCAGCTCTGAAAGTATTCAACGCAGGTCGCGACGGTGGAAGATGAAGGCCACCACTGCGATGGAAGTGGCGAAGGACTTGGCTTCACCTGGCATTTACCGCGTCAGTTGGCGCAGAAGTGAAACAACTGACGTATTGCTTTGGACTCGGACAAAATCGCTTAGATGGTTATAGCGCCAAATATGAAGAAGAAGAAGAAGAACCTTGCGCGTTCCAGATTCATTTGCTGCATCGAGTATTGGACCAGACCCATCAGCAATGTATGTTTTGTCTGGCAAAAGGTTCCGTTGGTTACTATTATTGGTTGGTTATTACTATTACAATTGGGTCAAATGCCTTTTATTTTTCCTCATACAAAATCGACCCAGCCTATTGTACATACATATGAGCAGGGAACGGATTTTATGGAAATTGCCTTCTTTTCTGCTAAAGAGAAAGAGTATATTCGATTAAGAATGTCCACGATTTAGCTTTCCCTGATTCCATATATACACATTTGATGTTGCCTTTTTTTGCCTTTTTTAAGATATTTGCCTTTTTTAAGATGTTTGCATTTTTTTTGCCTTTCCTACCGTGAAAAAGGTGATTATAGCATTTACAATATTTTTTTTAAGATTAAAAAATATACACAAGCCCATGCGGGACCTCTTGCCAAATTGGTGTTGGAAAAATTCAAAGCCGTTTTCTCAGCTAACGTAGACTTGGAGATAATAAGGGGTGTGGATAAAATTGTAAAGGGCGAGGAAAACGCCCTTATTCCTGATAATATGATCGTTTCAAACGTTCCATATTTAAATTGGGCTCCACTTGTATCAACTTACGTCGAGCGCACATTTAGTAAATTCAAGGCTTTTCTTCGCGAAAATCGAATGAAAATGCTGCCAGAAAACTTCAAAATGCAACTATACAGATTAAAGTTTTATGAGTTAGAAACTCGAAAGGATAAAATAGTCAAAGATTCGAAGTACAAATTTTTCATATAATGAAACTAGTTCATAGTTTTTCTCTTTTTACTTGTAATATAAACATTTTTAAAAGAAATGTATTTTTTGATTGTTCTTCGTAGTTTCTGTATTTTTTTTGTGCATTATTTTGCTTTTTTTGCAATACCTAGTGCCTTTTCCTGCCTTTTTCGCTATTTTACTTTCCTATAGCCTATTTCATTATTGTATTTTGCCTTTATAGGTTTTTAGGTCCTAAAAATCCGTTCCCTGGTTATAATAATTTTAAGCTATAATAAACAATTTTTTAGTAAAAATTGTTGGCTTTGAAAAAAAAAATTATACGAGGCTCATCCCCCACCCTAAATTTTGTTCTGACTACGCCCATGTACATCATCTTGACAAGAGGGGACTAATGAATAAGACATGCTATCTTCGCCGTGTTATACTTTTAACAGTTTTTCTTGGGAAATTATTCTCAAATATTTAGTTACCCACTTTTCTATAAATTTCATATCTGCATCAGAAAATAACAATATTTTTTAACAAAATTTGCGAACGTTAGGGTGGTGCAACGGCTTAACATGCAAAGGTAAATGCGTTGACGTTTTTTTGATCCCCCTCTTGTTTTCGACAATTTTTTTTGTTTATTTACCCATAATGGCGTCTACACATTTTCTTACGTTTTATTATTTATTTGCTTTTTTAAACTTTAATATCTGCAGGTTTTTATAATCAGCTATAATTTGCTTATCAGAAACACTTTCTCAGCATAGCTTATTGTTAAGCATGCGCCAAATTTTACAACAAACAGTAAAATTTATGCACATTAATCATTAGCTAGGTTCTTGCGCCAGTTTTGCCGATTTAATCACAGATTTTTATTGAAGGTTAGTGAACTTATGTACATACATACATACTAGGGCTGTGCGATTATTCGATTACTCGAGCAAGTTGGTTAATCAGTTATTCGGTTAATCAATTACTCGAGTAATCAAGATTTTGATTACTCAAAACGATGATTAATCGAGTTACTTGAAATATGATTACTCAAAAAAAATAATTTTGCTCGTTTAAAGTTTGCTTTGGAAAATGCTTAATTTCTTTTTTACATTCTGTATATGAAACGATGTTTTCAAAGTATCAATGAACTTTAACTACTTTATACATATGTAAAGAGTTGAAATGTTAATTACTCATTTTACTCGAAATGTTGATTAATCATAAAGCAAATTACTCAAATATTTTTGTTTTTGGTTAATCAAAAATCTTGATTACTCGAGTAACTGAACTTTTGAGTAATCATAATTTCTAATTAATCGAATAACTGAGTTATTTACTTTATGATTAATTAAAATTTTGAGTAATCAATTAATCGCACAGCCCTAATACATACATATGTAGATATTTTTTATTGTCACCCTAGATCTAGAAATTATTCTACGTTAAAACAATAATGGCGAAGACTAACCGTTGATATTTGGCAATTTTTAATTTTTTTTTTTTTTTTTTTTGTGGAAGGTGCTGCTCATTTTCTCCATACAAAAAATTGTCAAGCATATTTTGTATGGAAGAAAATGCACACGCCAAAAATTTGCCATAAGTCAACAGAGGGGAAGTCCTAGCTACTTAAAAACTTGCACATTTTATGATGTAAAATTTAAAATAAGGCTTTTTCCCATAACTGGCAAATGCTGAATAACAGCAATTACAATTGAAATACATGCGAACACGTTTTCATACATAAGTGGCGAATATTGCAGTAGATATCAGCTTCCCTACCCGGCTATACTTACTTCTTCGCAAATAAATTTCCGGTAATATTAGGGGTATTCAAGCGTTAATGTGAAATGCATTGCATCGGAGCGAAATGCGAAATTGAGAAATTTTATCAATAGCAAAATAGCCGAAAATCTCGCATCAGTCATTGCATTTCACTCTTTACCAACCACAAGCAAATGCAATGACTGATGCGAGATTTTCGGCTGTTTGTTTTTGATAAAACTCAGCATTTCGCATTAAGGCCTGAATACCTCTAAATATTATGTCTACATCTATCTCAGAGTATATTTTATCTACTTAGTTGCATTAATTACTGGCCCGTATTTCAGAGATACTTATTCGCATGCATTTTTATTCAAAAAGCAAACTGAATATGTGCAATTTTTTTTTTAAATTGTGTGATATATTTAAATTGAGTGCTCTCGAAAGTGTGTCGCTTGCTTGAGCAATTGTACTTACTTAGTAAGGCTTTTATGAAAAATTTGTTTGAGCAATCAAAGCTAAGAGCATTACTTACGAAAATGCTGCACCATCCACTAAAATTAATGCAGCTAAAAAGAGGCAGCAATTAAATTTTAAACATTGTTGTAGCTGTAACTTAGCTAGGTAGCTACTTATAATAATTATGGTAACAGTGAAATTTAGTGAACTAAATAATATGTGTACAATCGCATGTATGTATATTCGTATATAAAGTGATGAACACACATACATACATACATATGTACATACATCTCTGAATTGTAGCAAAATTTTTTAGAAGGTCGCTTTGGGGAAATGATATTTACAATTATTCGACATTTCATTAATCATTTTTAATCAAATTTTATACAATAATTTTGCAAGCAGACGGCAAACCCACTCAAATAAATGAAGCCTTATTAGATACCCAATGGCCAAGTCCTTTCATTTGACATCTCATGTTTTTAATGAATAATATAATTTTATAATTTTTTAGACAGGCGGCAACTCTATTAAAAAAAATAAATCCTTATTGCTCATATGAAAGTCAAGTCCTTTCATTTGACACCTCACTCTTTAGTCCAATGTCCCACATCTTAAAATTTTTCACACAGGTGGCAGCCCTCTTTGACAACAGAAACCCTTATTGAACATCTAAAAATCAAGCCGCGCTTGCATTGAACTGTCGAATTGAAAAAGTTAACAAACTGAAAAATAAATTACGAAATTTTATAAAGAGAGAACAAAATTATCAAGTTTGGCAACAAATTAACAAAAAGACAACGCTGGTTGTGAAACAGAAAATTTTTTTTCCACAAAAATTACTCGACTTTGAAAAAAATGTTGGCATACTTCAGAGATTCAATACTTTCAGATGTTGCAGGCGTTAAAACTTTATAAATGTTTTATAAATAGCTGAAAGATTGGGAAAAATATGGCACGTTTTTAAACAGCTGCTGGAAAAATGTCGGAAACAATTGCTCACCTTGGGTACTCATTAATCCAGGAAACTTCACTGCTCGTGCAAATATTAGGCTGGGTCGTTTGCTAATTTCGGCTATTGGATTATATTTGCACTATAAAGGTCTAAGTGAAACTTTCAAAGAAAGTATATCAAATGAACTTTCGTTAATCCCTGAGAACTAGCGTGTCAAAACAAGTCCCATCTAGGCGAATTAAGCCTACATGCCGACGGCACTCACATCCCAATGGAAGCGCTCAAAGCTACCTCCGTCACGAAATCAAAATCGTGCTAGGGGATTTTAAGGGACTGTGGGTATTCGACTTGCCGGGGATTTTTCAGATGGACGTGCTAAAAGTATGGAAGTCACGCCTCTCCGACTTTCTGAATATCACTGAAAGTAGTCGGACAGATGAGGAGATAAGACACAGGCGATCCCGCAATATTCGACAACTGCGGCTTTGAAGCCCACCGTAAACTAATTGATTGAGCCTTATCAGCGTGGCTTCAGACCTAGTAGGAAATTTATCATAGATCAATTATTTACCATACACCAAACCTGATAAAATACCCACGAGAGAAGGATCGACACTCACCATATCGATACTATCATATGTGTGTATGGGAACTAGCACTTCTTCTTACTAGAAATTTGACAAATTTTATTTTGAGTCTCTTTCGCAAGCTTGTTACAAGTTCATATGTCATGTATGTAGGTTCGCTCTATATCCATCTATATGATACCTGAAACCTCAGCTTGGAATACGCAAATATCTTCTTTCCTTTCCTCCCTGCTACGACGACCACATGGACACAGTGCAGCTGATTAAAATGCAGCGGTTTCACTAGCTCGGCCATGTTGTACGACTGGAGATAAGAGCTTCAGCCCTGAAAGTATTCAACAAAGCAAGAGTAGGCCCTCCTCTGCTATGGAAACACCAGGTGGCGGTTACAGCGCCAAACAAGAAGAAGAAGAAGAAATAAAATAAAATTTCGCGCAACACCTATTTGTTGTTTCAAACTTTTATTTATGTATTTGGCTTTGGCGCACAAAAACTTCTATGCAAATTTATGCCGCCATGTTCATGTTCATGTTCAAGGCTAAGTATGTCGTAATTGTCGTGTTGGAATCGATTTGTCGCTCATTCAGGTTGAGTAAATGGCAAATAAAACTAATTATTAGTTTAATTAATGGGTTAAGCGCATTGATATTTTAGTAATTATTAAATTTTATTTTATTTTATTTTTACTACATATCTTGTTAATTTCAGGTGTACAATGGTGTATAATTCTACACCTCAATGTAACCTATATGCAAATTTATTTGATTGGTGTAACTAACAATTGTTTTAAGCAAATCATGAGAAAATTCTTCACCTTAACTTTAACTAAGATAAAACAACATTCGTGACACAACTAATCACGATAAGTGAAACGAATAGGTATTTAGAAAAGTGAGGACCCACTTTGTACACTGTAATCCACCCATTGAACGAGTAAGTAACCTTGGCTAAATATCAGCTGAATACCTTGTACAGATAACCCAATTGTGGGAAGACGTTGATCGGCTTATAAATAGATACATATATGTATGCATTTATATGTGCGGATGTATGTATATATGTACATAAGTATGCTTCGAAGTGATTGAACAGTTAAGCTTGATGTATGAGAAGGCATGAAAAACATGCAAGCAAAAGTCCAGCTGGATATGTAGAATGCGAAATTGTGTTGTATTAATATGTAAGTTTATATGTGTGGATATTACTGGATTGTTGACTTTTGCTAGAATTCTAGAAGCGTTCTGAACAATAAAAAAAAAATTTAAAACAAAACAAAGTAAACCATCTTCTCCAATTCTTGGGAAAATTACCAAGCCACAAAACTGACAAGAGACTGGTCAACATACATACATATATACAAATGTCGCAGCTTCGCAATCGCACAATCTACTTATTCAGCCGCTCAAGGTTAAGGGCAATTATGGCTTAAGAACATTAAGCCATGTCAGCGACAGTTTGAAGTGATCGCAAGAATCGTGTTATTGTCGCTGAAGAAGCAACGAAAGTGAATGCTGAAGCTGGACATTTTTCATGCCATTTAATCTTCTTGTTATTGTGTTGAAGTCGCAGAATAATTTTACAGATAAACAGGTAGAATTCTCAACTTCTCTTTTTCAGTTAAGCGGCTAGTTGTTAATAATGTATTGTAGGCACTTAAAAAAACCCACTATTTTTATTAAAGCTTGGTTACATCTTCTATATCAATCACAAATTTTGCATATCAGTCTTTGTTCTAACTATATCTTGGCTCTATATCTTTAGCGTCAGTACCCATTTTTCTGATCAAAATTAATTTAAGACATACCGCCGGACCGATTTGAACGCATTCTATACATGTACATAAGTATATATTACACTGTGCGAGAGTAAATTTTACACATAAAACAAATCACTATGCTATTGAAACTAAGGACCAAATAAAGAAAAACTGTGTTTAAAGTTTTTCTCTCTGACGCACAGTGCTTCCCTTCCATATAAAATGTGGGCAAAAATAGAATTATGGACGGATTTAAATGAAAATTCGCTTCTGAGTAAAATTGAGGACGCTAAATTCAAAAATGTTATTTGTTTTTGGATAACTTTCATACTTTCATTGTAAATGCAGTTTGAAGTTGAAAATTTGGGTTCTTGTGGCTTTTACATAGGTATGTTTATATAGTCCGTTCTATTTTCAAAAGTGCAATGTCAAATAACAATGCTAGGCCTGTTGATGTGCAATAAAGTTTTTTTATTTTTGAAAAGGGTTGCCGCCTGTTACAAATTTTGTTAAAATTATTTGATAAATCAAATGAATTAGATATTAACATATGGGTATCAATTGAACTAGCTTTGAAAACAGTTTACTTCTAAACGACACGTACAAGGGTTGCCACATGTTTAAAAATCAAATTCACTTTAATTAAGGGAATAAGGTAACTGAAATATGTATATAAATATTATTATCAGAAAAATTAAAAAATTTGACATACATATTTAGAAAGAAATAAGTGAAGAGTAAAACATTGCTGAGTCAATTTAAGATCTATTTCAATTACCTAATTCCTTTAATTCAAGTGGAATTGAATTTTTTAAACCAGTGGCAACTCGCAGCATTTAGTTATTGCACATTTCGATTGATACCCATCACTTAATAATTCATTTAACTTATAAAAAAATTTTAATATAATTTTTGAACAAACTAATTTTTTCACAGGTGGCAACTCTTAAAAAAAAGTGGACCTTCTATTGTCCACAGGTCAAGCTTTTTAATCTGACACTTCATTCAAAATGGAACGAATCGTACAGATCTCAAGGCACTGACAAAAAATGAAAAAAATAATTTTATGAATTAGCGAAAAACGAATTACTTCAGAAAGTGCAAGAAATGAGCTGGTTTTAATTTCATCTTCTGAAAGCTAAAAGCCCGTACTATTTAATAAAATAATAAAAAATAACCTATTTTTACCTATATTTTTATTCATTCCATTAAAATTTAGAATTTTTTTAAATTTTGTTTAAAACAATTGTTTTTCTGGAATACCGCAGGGACACCCTGTGTTTAATTTTATTCCCAAATTTTAATTCCTGTAATTCTCTACTATCTATATGGAAACACTAAACGTCAAACCAACATTTTATTTCAAAGAATGTATTTTTGACATTTTTTTCTGTGAAGAGCTTACGCATGGCTATGCTCTTATTAAAATTCTAGTTAGTGGATAAATTGTCTTTAAAAAATACCAAACAAGTTCACATTGCAGATAATGAATTTTTCGATTTTTGCCCATTTAGGCGGCACTGTGTGACGTCAGATTTTTTTTTAAAGGACTTTTTAAATTTCATGGATAAGATTATTTAAAAAAAATATATATATTTTCAAAAGTTCAGTTTAATACAATGTAAGTCACGGACATGTATGGTTCTTCTCCTCATTCCTCATTTCTCTCAGGTGCAATGGCCTTAGTACATTAACGGTTAAGTATCTAGTACGGTTTTTAAGCTCAATGGATGAAGAGATACATTTTAAATAAAATGCCTATCTGAATTTAAAATGTCAAATTTTGGGCTTTTACGGTTGTCAAACTCATCGATTCAATTAGCGTCTTTAATAAAATACTAAGATCAGTGCAAAAAATATTTATTTGTCTTATTTTTACACAAAATATGTATAACAGCTACATATACGAGTATGCACATTAGATCGCACCACCTTGCAAGCAAGCGAAAATAAATTTCACAGTATACGCAAGAGTCTAAACTATGTTTTAGGGATCGCCTTATAAATTTTAATCGAAATGCTTCCTTAGCAAAAGTTTAATGCGTTTTGGTTAGATTTACATTTAAATGACGCTGACCTCTCTAGAATGAAAAAAGTTTCCTCGAGACAAGCACTTCAATATACTAATCACACTTTAAGATCCGCCTGCAAATACCGAAGATCAGACGAAAACTGCAAAAAGGCGATCCCTACGTTCGTCAAAAAAAAAAATAATAATAATCGAAATTGCCTTCGAGTCGAAATACTTGCTTAGCCAAAGTTTAATTCTTTTTGGCGAGCTTTAATTCACCGACATTAGGGTGGTACGTTAGGGTTATAGGAACTGAGATGCGGTATGTAAGTACTTGAACGGGGTACTAGAGCTCAATGAACAAAAATAATTTTCTCCTCGGACTTTAAGATCCGACTATAAATGACGAAATGATGAAGATATAACGAAAAATGTTCGGCCAAACAAATTTTTCTTCGAAATTAGCTGTGTGTGTGCGGTGAATTTTTTGTTCTGGTACGGTCTAATGTACTACATGCGCTGTGAAACAGCAAACAAGATGAACGTACAAGTTCTCACATTCGATTTACATTTAAATTACGCTGAAGCATTAAAATTAATAAATTAAAAACTGCACACTTAAAAGTGCACTTTATAAAAAAAAGCACTTTAAATCTTTGTAATGACATAATTACAGTATTGTCTAAAAATTGGCAACAATAGGGAAGTTTACGTTTTTTTTTATAACCAAAAAATATAAAACACTAGCACCTTTTGAAATTATTACATATACAGAGGTAAGCCTCCAACAATTTCCGCCAAAAATTTCCACCTTTTACGCTTCAAATTCTGTCCAATACACTTTTGAATCACCGTGCTTAACCGATCCTTCTCATTTCAATTCCTCGCGACGACTGAACTGGCGTAGCGCAAGTGTATCGACAACATTTTAACTGTTTCAGCCGCCCCAAAACGATCGACTAGCCAACCAACCGACCAATCGACCAACCAGCCAGTCAGCCAGCAGAGTGACAACAAACAATATAAAAGCCAACGAACGTTGACGCTTTTGCGCTTTTGATATTACTAGCACATTATTGTTATTATCATTCTGCTTGTTGTGCTATTGTTATTGTTTGAGTGTGTGTGTTTTTTGCGATGCGATAATATCAGTGTTAAAGAGTTTTCCGCGTCAACTAACTAAATAGTTACTACAATAGCAAGGTAAGTGGTTTTGCGCTGTATCGCAAGTTAATTAACTAACTACTCGCATAAATACATATGTACATATATGGGGATACATACTACTTAAATATCGTAATAAGAGCGAACAGCAGTAGCGAGATTCATTCATCATTTTCAAGCTCAAATAAAAGCTGCCTACTACATATTTAAATTACAATCAAATACTACTGGGGGCAGCATTGAAGTTAGCGAAGACACAAATGACGACGATCATAACGTTGACGTCGACTTCGACTTCGACTTTAGTGACGCCCAAGTTGGCGCTTGATACTCTTATGTACATATGTATATATATATATTAGGGTTGTTGCGAATGTGGAATTTTAGATGTCTACAAGCTAACATCCACGGATGCGAATGCGAATGCGGATGTCAAGTAATTTTACGAAATAATTTAGGTAATTAAATTAGATGTATGTATTAGGTAAATAAAAAAATGCAAAAGTTAATAATAATTTTTAGTAATATGTAGTTATTTTACTGAGTACTTGATATTGGAACATTATGTTTAATAAAAAGTAATGCTGCTGCCTTTTCAGGTTCAAATTCATAATACAGAAAAATAAAATGATCAAGTAGAAGTGGGAATTCGAATAACCGCCCATTGATAGCTCGGTTATATACATACATATGTAGCTTGAGAAATAATAGGTTTAAAGACAATTTTATCAAAGTTAATAAATCTGACTTTTGACCGGTTTTATTACACAAATACTCCTTTGTGCCGCAAAAAATATTGGCTTAAACTTGTAATTTTCTTTGCCAAATATACATTCGCATTCGCAAAAGCTCCGCATGGATTATTGCGAATGCGAATGTTAAAATTAATGCGGAAGCTCCGCGGTTGAGAATGCGAATATTCACAACAACCCTGATACATATGACGGACTTGTATAATCAATTGCTGCGCAGAGTACATCAGACGCTGACGCAGAGCTTCATCAGCTGATGCAGTGTTAAGAGGTGTGTAAAACAATTATGAGAGAGAACAAAGTAATTACATTTCTCCTTAAATGGTTTTTGTGATAATTACGTTGGGGTAGGTCGGGGGTAAGAGATAAAGCGGCGAACGTTGCTGTCGGAAATGTGAAGAAGGCGAGAGAAATTGTTATTAAAAAATGGTAGTACCGTTACTCCCTTTGTTCTCAAGTGCATATTTAAAGGTTAAATTAGTGGTGACATAACCATAACCATATAAAACAGCTGTTCCAACCAACCTTATGGCCAACACTGTATTCGATTAGTGGCGCCACACCATAACGCCATAGCCATAACCATAGCCATAGAGACCAATTGAATTTCGGTTTTCCGCCATAACCATAATCAGCTAATATCTGAAGTGCGAGTAAGAACATGTTGGCAGAAGTTCAAAAAAAAATAATATTGTTCACAGCCAACTTTTTGGCATAAGTGTAGAATATGCACCATGTAGCTATGCAAAAACCAAAAATGTGGCTCGATAGAACTTCTCACACTGATTAAAACTGTACCAAAATTATTTGACCCCAAAATATAAAGTATAAATAAATTTATTATTATTTTTTATATATTAATATCTTATGAATTACATAACTGATTATAAACTAATGATGTCAAAATAAAGTTAATTAATGTATCTTTCAGTGATGTACATAATTTATATGCTTTTTATATTTAAATCGAAAAATACTAAAAAAACCGAAAAAATCGTATTTTTTCATAAAGTAACCTTTTTTTTAACAAAATCTCATAATTAATGCAAAAGAAATTTATATTATTAATAAAGTACAAGCTATTACGTTTAATTTGATGTGCATATTTTAGTATGATCTGCTGTTGAGTTCTTATAATTTAATGTTAATTTAGTGATAATGAAAGAAGTTCTGCACATACTACGATATTGCCCATTTTCCGGGTTTTGTTCCGCGTCTGGCAACACCGACATTGTTGACAACGAAAACTCAGCTCTTTATGGTTATGACACCTATAATCGATGATAATTAATGTGGTTCATCTTCTGATCGGCCGCATAAAAGTGCAATATCGAATAATTCGAACTATCTTCGAAGTAATCGAATCATAGCAGTAAAATTTCTCGATTGCCCCCCAGGATGAGACTGGCTACCGATTACATACGACCTGAAGTAGAATTTCACAAGACCTTCGGGGTCATTCTGCCATTGAGTGCCGACTGGGACGAGGAAATTGATATTTGATACACAAATACATATGTACATATTAGCCACCTCCGATTCGCCACTTCTCTGCTCACTATATTTAAGTTCCGCTCGCTTAACGAATAATTTTTATGTGAAAACAAAAATAATAATTAGCAAGCAGCGATGAACATTGGCGAGCTTGATGTAACTCATTAGTTTCATTCTCTTCGCCGCTCGCTAAGTGCTAGCTCATTAAATATATAAATGGGTATAATAATTACGTTAAAATCCGCGTACATATGCATACTATAAAACGAATCTTTTGGCTAAATGCGAACTTCACTTTCTATATATGACATTTTTGAATATTCTTTAATTAGAACTGGTTTGAAAATCCACTTAATTAGTCTACTTAATCAACCTATTTAAAAGGTATGACTATTTTCATTATAAACTATAAAATTGATCAACTCGTAATCGAGGCAAATGGGATAGTAAATGAGCGATCATTATATGTATGTACATACACAGAACCGAAAACATACACTTATGTACATATAACTAGGTACGAGTAAATACATATGTACATAAATACATCGGAATAGTTGATTGGCTATCAAAATCAGGTTTAGGAATTACGCAGGAAAATTTAACAATACAATACCTGTATACAATATATACATGTACATATGGAATGTAATAGTAATAACAATCAAAATGCTGACGAATTTAAACTTCAACTGGTGACGTACTTAATGCTTGATTTTCAGTATCAAGTTCGCGGTTTTACCCCTTTTTGTTTATTGATTATTATTACCGCCATTTGGTTTGCTGAAAAGTAGAACGGGAAAACCCTTAAATGTTATGCTACATAGTTACCTGATATACAGGGTGGTCCATATATCGTTTTTTTCTGATCACATGTTATTTTAATATTGACAGCTCTCTCCCGCTGGAAATCTTATCTGAAAGTCTTATTTCATGTATGTATTTTGTTATGCTTTTAGTATGGTACATACTAGAGGTTTACGCCGACAGGCTTTGCGGCGGCGGCGTGGTCAACTTCAAAAAGTATCAGCGGCGGCGGCGGTCCGTAAGATAGTCCTGGACTAGTCCAATTTTGGAGATTTTTTTCGTTGGAGTAAGATTGCGTTCTGCACTTCGCAGATGCTTTTTCATAATTCGGAAACACAAAAAAATAAATTTTATCATTTTATAACCATGTTGCTTCTGACAGCATTTGAACCCGGACCCTCCTGAAAGCTAGCAAATAGTGGCAAGCATCTCTGCGCACTGAGCTACAGCCACGCATGTAAATGTGTGTTCAAATGTTCACTTTGTATTAAGGCCAGACCAAGCGATTGGGACATTTACAGGGTGGTGTTCTTTAAATTTTTTTTATTGAATTGCAAGACAACACCACCCTGTAACTGCCAAACTGTATTTTTCGTCTATCTCTAGGCCGGTTCCTTGGGGACTGGTCGAAGGCTGACATTTTCGATGCAAGCAAATGTCCAATTCTGACCAGTCAAATATTAATCAGTGAAGTAATAGTCCTTAACGGACAATTGGCCGCCTTATTTCTGCAGGGTTGTAATCATGTACATGCAAATGTATGCGCAAGTAAAAATTACTTAAGCAGTAAAAGCAGTGTACAAAGTAATATATGTATTTTATTGTACCTCTATGCTTACAATTTATTTATAAGCAATGTGGTCTGTATTGTCACTAGAGTAAAAAATAAAATGTAATAAAGATAATAAAGGTAGCGGTTAAATGAGTACCATAAGAGTGAAATAAATATTTCAAGTTCAAGTTTTATTATAAACTACATTTGATGGGTCGATTCAAGTAAGTACATATAAGTAAGTATAAACAACAAAGTTGTAAACGCATGTCTGGGTGTTATTGAGTAATAAATATTGACATTTCGTTGGAGAGTCTAGATATGAATGAATGTATGTATGCAGATCAGACGTCTGATAGTTGATTTTTTAATTGAAAATTGAAATTCAATCACACTAGATAAATACCTATGTACATAACAACGTTTTAAGTGCAAAAATTCCCCATATTTTTTTAGTAGTTTAAAACAAGACAAAAAATTTTTGCTAAAATAAAACAGGACTTAAATTATCGGTTATGTAAAATCTGGCTTTAACTTTTTTTACACTTAAAAACTGAAAAACTGGTCAAAAGTTTTTATAATTTAAAATTTAGACAAAATTATTTCTCTTTTTAAATTACCAAAAATTCATATCCAGTTTTCATATAGGCAATAAACTTTGCTTAGTTTTTTAATTAAAATATTCGACGCCCATTTTTTAAGGGACAAAAGATGTATTTTTTAAGGAATATTCCTAGTTTTGAAATTACCTAATTGTATTTTTCGTTTTTAAATGAACAAATCTTTATGTCCAGTAAATAACAAAAGTGTTTAAAATTATTAAAAAAAAAAAATATCTCCATTTTCGTTATTTAAAAAAAAAAATACAATTTAAATTTAAATTTATTTTAAGTCCATTTACTAAATGTTCAAAAATTTCTTAAAGGATTCCCAGTTTGGAATTTGCTAAAATCGAACGTCCAGTTCTTAA